GACGCCTCGGTGCGGGCCCGGGGCTACTGCTGGGAGCGGGGCGTGGGGCTGAGCGAAGCTTTGATCCTTCGGGCCAGCCTTTAAGGCCGTCGCCCTGGCAGAGGTGAGTCCGGCGGGGTGCGGGCAGCAGCCAGGAGAGCTTTGGCTTCTGCTGATGGAGGGCTGCGTGAACGGGGTGTTCTGATACCGGGGCCGCTGTGGAAGCACAGCCGAGCTGCAGCCTGTAAACTGCTGTTGGCTGAGAGTGTGAAGAGTCACTTCAGCTAAGATAAGTGTGGAATTGGCGAGTGATGTATTTGATTTTTTTAACAAAATCAATGTTGAGATTACACTTAGAATGTAATCTCATGTATGCACGCATGCACTTGATTTTTTTTAGTAATTCTGGCTTAGGATTTTTCTGTTATTCCTATTTTTTCTGTACTTTTATCTATTTCCTGTTTTTCTGTACTTTTATCTGTTCTGTACTCTTTTATCAACATTGCTGCGAAGAACAGGTCGTGGCAGGCAGAGGAGATACAGAACAAAATAGCTGAGATGAGGTGTGGAGTCCAGAAAGAGCAAAATCCCTTTTCCCTCCTTCCTTGAATTGGCTTAGGACGGAGGCGCATTCAGGTATATCACTTAAAATGTGAGCACTGGTTAAGCATGGAAAACTTGGGGAAAAAATCTGCCAAGCTGTGCAGGCATCGCACGCGTCTCAAAGCTGGTACTTGCCAAGTGCTGCCTTTAGTGAAAGCAGAACTACTTCCTCTGACTTCCAGTCTGCAAGAGCTACCATTCACTTCCAGCTTCAGTTTCCATTTGGGGAAAAAAAAAAAAAGAATCCCTGTTTAAAAGGCTTTTTTGGGGCTCTACATTTCCTTTCTAATAACTATTGCATCAGATATCCTTGGCTGACAAATAGGAGGTGCTGGCTCTCCTGCCACCCTCGCGCTCGTAAGCTTGAGTCTCACGACTAGGCTGCTTGGAGGCGTGTGCTGGCCAAGCAGTCTTATTCCAGAGGGCAAAGCCTGCCTTTCTCTTTTGGATATAAGTTTTTCTCTTTTCATTCCTCCTGCCTGTCAGGAATGCCCAAAAAGACAAGATAGGAACTAGTTGAACTGTTCAGTAACCTCACCTGTGCTAGTAGTTTTGCTAAAATATTGCCAGAGGGCTACACTAAGTGAGTCTATTGATGGTACTTGAAAGAAAATGCAGCGCTCTCACTGACTTTTGCAAAGTCTTGTCTGAGATACTGAATTGATTTTTTTTCTTTTTTTTTCCCAGGTGGCTGGCTGCACAGCCACTTCAGCTTTCTTAGAGGCCTTTCTGAGTCATAGGAAGGTTTAATACTTGTATGTACTAAACCAGATTTTTTTTTTTTTTGAGTAAAACCAGTAGAAAGTATACTTTCTGGTTCTTGAAACAAAACAAGTTTTTCTTTTCTGTTTCTTACCTTTTACAAATTAAATTGACCTCAGTTTCAAAGCAGGACATTGAAACACTAACTTCTGAAAATGTTAGCTCAGGAGAAAATATTTTTAAGAACTGTCTGCTAATCATGTTGGAATATGGCTTCAGTGTGAACCTGCATTTTCCTTTAACTACTCGCATGAAAATGTGAGATTATTAAAATGAAATGGTCTCTTCCCTGCCCCCCCATTCAGGAAGGGTTCAGTAGTTAAAGCTGAAGTGTAAGTAAACTGTCTACATGAAGAGTGTTGCCAGGCTTTGCCTGTTAGTGTTTAACTGGTGGCATAAATAAATAGAATTTTTGAAAAGCTGTATTTATTTTCATGAAAAAATCACATTAAAATTATAGGATTTATTAAAATAATAGCCAATAAAATTGTTAACTGTGGACTTACTAGATTTTTAACTTCCTCAGATATAGACTCTGATTTTATTTTAATATCTTGGGGTATTTTTCTTCTGTGTTTCACATGGAGCCAAAGAAAGCCAGCCTGACTTTCTCATGGTGTCAAGAACTGCACATTGTTCAGTGTTAGCTTTAGACCAATTTGTAGCAAACTTTCACGTTCTGAAAAAATCCCAAATGACTCCTAGTTTTGCTCGTAGCTATAGATATAGCTAGCTAAGATATGGTGGCTGAAGGGAGAGGAGGAGTAATTACTTAGTAGCCAACTACCAAGCAGTAAATAAACAACAACAACCACCCCCTCCCCCCCCAAACTATAAAACTAAAAGGCTGTTTCAGACCACTTTCCTTGTGTCATCTGAGAGTCCAAAGTGATTTAGTCCTTACCAATGCATTAAAAAAAAAAGAGCAGAGAGGATCAAGTTCTGCCATGGAAAAGCTAATTATTAATATATTTTAAAAAAATTATGATAAATTATTAATAAGAAAATCACGGTCATCGATACTCATGTCAATACCGAAATGAATGGAAACTCATGTCTCTGAAGCATTTTTCTTCTAAGAAATTGTCTTAAAAAATGAAAACAATAGGATTTAAAGTTTACTTTCAAGTTTTACAGAGGGTAAAACAGTTTTTTTTAATTTGCTGTGGGAATTTAGTGGGTACTCAAATAATACGTCTCTTGAGCCCACATTTAACAAGGGTCATCTTACTCTGTTCAAACCGCCTTGAGCGCAGTGCATCACGCCAGGACCGTGGCATCACCTTCGCAATTTGAAGAAATTCATTTTGACCCCTTGGCAAATGGTGTGAGGGTACTCCCTGCTGAGGCTTGCACCTGGTGTTGGGGGGGACGTCAGGGCAAGAGGCTGTTATTTTACACGCAGCCGAGAAAGTTGCTAGAAAAGTAGAGTTTTGGGATTCACAGAGGACGTTTTTGAGGACAGCCTTTCACCGCCAGTGAACAGGGTCTTTGTTTGGCTCTTTTGACCTTAACATTTTGAGTCTCTTCAGTAGAGGGAAGAAAAAAAATCCCTGAATTAAAATATAGAAAAATAAAGAAGGGAATGAGGCAGGATGAAGACTGACTGCTTGCCTTGTCAGATGCCTTCGGTACTGTAGAAGTAAGTGCTGTAGGACTGCCTAGATATACATTAACTAAATGGCAATGATTGCTGGTGCAGAAACCACTAAGCAAACAGTTCTGTAGATTCTGGACCTGTGTCTTCCCATTTGCAAAAATGCAAGGAGGTAATTCCCTTAGTTATTGGAAAAGCTGAGGATCAGCTTAGTGGAGTTATTCCATTGCAAGAGGGCAACCAGGTCTTTCTTGTTTTTAATAAATGATGGTTGAAGCTGATCAATCATTAGCAAATTTCAATGGCAGCAGATTTTCCCCCTTTTACCCTCTCGCTGGAACATGGTCGCTAACCAGTTTGCCACTGCATGTAGGGTCCAGGCCTGTGCTATAGAGAGGGCACCGTAGTTCAGGAGAAGCAAAGCTACTCCTTGCATATCATATCCTGGGGGGAAATGTTTAAAACCTTGCCCCACAGAAGTCCATGTTAAACGAGCCAGATGCTTGTGGAGTAGTATTGCCTGTGCTTCTGCCTGTCTCTGTGGCACCACCTAGGAGGTGGGTGAAGGGGAGTTTGCATCCAGGAGAGCAGGGCTTCTACCAGCCAAGGCAGCTTTAACTTCTCCTGGTAATGTGTCGATGAGTGCAATTCGTTTTGTGGACTACGCAGGCTTCGCAGCTTTGCTCCAGTAAAATTGCAGCAGTGTTGCCCAGTCACACCTCTATACAGGTTTGATCCCCACCTCCATGCCCTCGTCCCAGCTAGTCCAAGCACTGGGTGAGTTTAGTCCAGTAAATTGCTAAAGGCTTGCTCTGTGCCTCCTGCACTGAGGGTAAAGAAGAAATATTTTCTGCTAGTTTGGAGCAAGAAACTCTTTATTTGAATAATAAAAAGTATATATGTATTTTTTTAAATGCCTGAAACCACATTTTTCGTGTGTTCACCGCATTATTTTTTCTTGACGTTTCAATGGGTCTTCTGTCGTCTTACCTCCTGCAAAGGAGCTGGAATTCACAGGGCTGGCAAAGGGCGAGCTGGAACCATTGTCCATGTCTGCTTGAGAGAAGAGGTAGTCTCATCCCTGAAATTTTAGCTAACCTATGTTACATTTTTCTTAGTGGCACCTGATTAAATTAATTCTTTAGATGAACGTAAAAAGACATTTCTGCATCAGTCAGAATAATTAGAATGTGTCATGATCATTGCTGATTTGTTCACCAAATAGCAAAATCAGATCTTCGACCAGAATAAAAAGAAATTCAATATAACAGAAGTGAGGTAGCTTCAAAGGTTTTTGTTTTCTTTTTTTTCCCCATACAAATACATATATATAAAAAATACATGTATGTTTTTTTTGCTAAAAAGAAATTCAATATAACAGAAGTGAGGTAGCTTCAAAGGTTTTTGTTTTCTTTTTTTTCCCCATACAAATACATATATATAAAAAATACATGTATGTATTTTTTTTGCATACAAATATATATATAAAAATACATGTATGTATTTTATAGTAGTTTACAGTTAATACTGTGCTACAAAGTAGCCATGATAAATTTCTAGCTGAAACACCATCTCTGCTGCGTACTTCAACATTTAAAATGCTAGAAATGAGAATGTTTGTTCTTTCACACACCAGAAAGAGTTATTCACACGAGGCTGGATAGGACCTTACAGGATTGTCATGTGATATATGAATACTTATAATGTGGGTGTGCACTGTTACTGGGATTGGCAAGGCAAGCTGTAGCAAAATGTGGGGCCTGAATCTCTTGGAAGTGCAGCATCCCTGGACTTTGCAGAGATTTGCTGTCTCATCAGAATGGACTTGGAGAGAAAAACGTGCCTAGTAGCATTTTTAAAGTCAGAAGAGCTTTGGTGTCAGGTTGAACTGAAAATGAGATCCATGCAGCTGAATTAGAATCTGCGCAAAGAAGATGACTCCCTTCCAAAAGGAGGGATTGACTGTGGGATTGTAGTTGGCTTTAGCACCCCTGAACACACCCTTCTCGTTGCCTGACAGCTGGATTGCACAGCATAGCTGGGTGAGCTGGTATTTACTATGTTCAAGTCGCCCACCTTGGGAAAACAACTGGTGTTACTGCCATGTGGTGTGCCTGGCACATGGGTGCCCTGCCAGAAATCGTTGGGGAGAGATGTGGGCACGGGGTAGGTGCAGAATCCTAAGGGATGCTTTCTTCCCTTGCTCAATCACTTTGAGTAGGAACAAATGAATCGGTTGTGCAGACAGTTAAATTCTCATCAGTAGTCTTCAGAGTAAACAAATTAGATGTGAACTTTGCAGACCTGTACAGACAGCAGCACAGCACCGAGCCCCTCTCACTGTGTATTGTGAGTATGCAGGCAGAGACTGGGGTGGTACAAATCTGCATAGATCCACTGGCAGGAAAAACAACAAGCCAAAAGATACACAGCAATGTATATGTACTCCTGTTTGTCTAGGAACATCTGGAACAGTTCATTTCATATTAGGTGAAGAATTGCTAAATTCTTCTAAATGCTAAATAAAAAGAGCATAAACTTTTTTTTTTTCCACCCTAGCTGTGGGTTGGATTCTTTTGAGTTGTAAACGCTAACATGATCTTTGGCCAAAATGTGTTTTTAACTCCATCCTCAATTACAGCAGGACGTGATGGAATATATCAGAAAAAATCCACAATAAGTATTAATTATAACAATTCTTATTATAAGAAAGAATTTTTTTACAGTGAGAACAATCCGTCACTGGAACAACCTCCCCAGGGATGCTGTGGAGTCCCCATCGCTAGAGGTTTTCAAGATATGACTGGACAGGGTGCTAGATAATCTCATCTAGGCACACTTTCCCATGAAAGGTTGGACCAGATGACCTTTCGAGGTCCTTCCGAACTGGGCTGTTCTATGATTCTATAGTTAGTGTGTTTCTATTTCCTTAGCACTGCTCAGCTTAGGGTCTCAGCTCACTTTCAAAGACTCAGGTCTTGGAAGAGCCTGAAGGCAGTCGTGCCTTATCTCCGTGTTGCAGATTTCTATTGACCAAAGTCAGAATGGGATTCAGTGGAGGACGAAGGATTTAACTCAGGCCACATGTATCAAAACCTCTCTTGATGAGAATAGATCCTGCTGTTGGTTTGAGCCTGCCCAGGTGAGCTGCTTGAAGATCCTTGCAAATTATTGCAGGCTCCATCAGTGGTGATTTGAACTGGCCTCACTTATTATATGGCTGTCATGAGGTTGGACTAGATCTTCTGTGTAGACAAAACCCTGCTTTACCGGTAAATCAGATAGGGAGTAGAAAAAGAATAAAGTGTCAATCTGAAAAATGGCATTTTCCCTGTACAACTAGCAAATATTTTTTTAAAAACTTGAATGTTTAATTCTAAGCTTACTGTGTTGTCTTTTATATTCACAGGCATATTTTGAAAACGATAATTCTGGGCCAGATGCTCTCCTTGTTTATCTGTGGGACTGCTGTTACAAGCCAGTACCTAGCAGAACAATACCAAGTGAATACTCCAATGTTTCAAAGTTTTATCAACTATTCTTTGCTTCTTCTAGTTTATACAACAATGCTGGCATTTAGGACTGGTATGTGAAATATGGGATGGGAGATCCCGGTTCATAATTTTTTTTCTCTTCTACATTTTCCTTTCAGATTTTGAAACTAAAGAACTTACTCAATACTCATCCTAGTTTTTTAAAGTTCCTGCTGAAATTCCTGCCTTGTGATAACACATGGAAATGAATTTCACAGGTTAAAAGTGCATTTAATTTGATTTCATTTCATATCTGTTTAAAATTATGTGCTCTTTGGTTTCAAGTCCTGTGTTATATTAGGGAAGATAGGCTTTGTTGTAACAAGCTTCTTTACCAGAGGCTATTTAATATTCCTCTTATTCTTATTAATTTACTCTTTAAACAACTCTAGCTTTGTGGTTTTTTCCCTCACGTGGAAGAATTTCTGTGCTTTTCACCATTTGCATTGTCTCCTCCCAGGCTGCATTTTGCTGTTATTGTATCTTTCTTAAGCAGGGGCAAGCAAAATTGAACATCTCAGTATTACTTATGCTTCTGAAAAGCAAGATTCCTGTGCAGCATTTGGTTGGAAAGAAACACATATTGATTGCTGCTTTCTTCTAAACAGGCAGTGACAGTCTTTGGCAAATTTTGAAACAGCGGTGGTGGAAGTATATTTTTTTGGGACTGGCTGATGTTGAAGCCAATTACATGATCGTAAAAGCCTACCAATACACGACCCTCACAAGTGTGCAGGTAAGGACCGATCTGTCTTTTTGAACTGTTGCTTTTATTATAGTTTTGGACCAGTTTCTGAAATGAGATTCATAGGACAGACATGGAAGCTATTTAAGCCTGCAAAAGCTTCCCAATATCTATTTTCTCTCTGCAGTACAGAGAAGAGCATCCTGCATCATGAATAACATTTCCAGGAAGCAGAGAAAATTGGCTGGTATTACCCAATGCCAGCTCTTGAGTTGAACTCTAATTATTTTGATAGAAAGCACTTCTAAGAGTTTGCTGACAGCCACTCAGGTTTTTCTCCTGACACAAAATAAAGATTTAGGACCAGATAACACTCACTCAGCCCAGGTTCTTGCTGATGAGAACAAGGTAGACCTCTTGCCTAGTCCTAGAAGCTGTGGGAGACATTGTGAGATGTAACCCCACACATGAGGACATACTGATAGTTAGCTGGTATTGCTGACCGTGTAGTGAGGGACCGGACTTATGGCTTTTGGATGTGGCACTTCAGTTCAGGCCCCTCTCTGGAAGAGGTGGAAGGGAGATCAGCATGCTGGGCTCCTGAACTGACAGTAAACATCCTCTGCAACGCCAGTGCTTGGTGCTGCATCGCTGCACAGAGAGTGCCCGGCTGGCGGGGCGGAAGGATGTTGGTGGGCCCGCGCTCAGGAAATATAATCACCATGTCGTCTGCACTATTGCCTAAGCCACAAATGTGGCACCTTTTAGCCAGGCGGATGAAGTTTCACCTATTTGGGGCATTTTTTCTATCTGTGGGATGTGCGGCTTTATACAAGTTTGTAATTGCTGATCCCAGAAAACAAGCTTATGCAGAGTTCTATAAAAACTATGATCCCGTGAAGGACTTCGAAGCCATGAGAGCAGAAAAAAAATCTTACAGGGGGTTGGACTAGATGACCTTTAGAGGTCCCTTCCAACCCAAACTATTCTATGATTCTATGATAAATCTTGTGTTCTGAAATAGCTCTACGAGCAGGAGGACTCGTGAGTGTGTCTGGGGCCGTGCCAACCTATGCCTGCTCTTACCAGTGGTGGATCTGTGGCTGGGGTCATGGCCCCACTTACCTGAATAAAAATAACGTACCATACAGAATTGGCTGTTAGTTGGAAAGGAGTGTTTAGGTGTCAGTGTTTTACAGAGTCAAAGTAACAAGGGTTAATATTTAAAAGAATTACCTGTAAAGCAATAAACTCCTGTGGTCTGGGCTCCCTTTAGAGAACTGCAGTAACTTTTCCTTGCACTATTTAAAGACCAGTAACATGTGCCTGATGGATTATTATTGTCACGTTCCCACTTCATACTTACGTGTTATGACTCATTAGGCCTTTAATTCTCTTACAAATAATGCCTAAGAAATCAAAGCTTTAAGAGTGACACGTTTCAGTCTCAAGATCAAGTTAAGTTGATAATCAAGACACTGAGCATATACTTTACAGCTGAAAAAGCCAGGACTTTGATCCAAGTTCTCAGAAGTAGTAAAGCTATTCCTATGATTTCTTCCATAGATATTAAGAAAGAGTAGATACGGTAGGTTGTACTGTCCAGTTGCCAAACTTGAGCAGTTGCTGAACCTTCTTCCCATGTGGTAACCGTCAGTTCAGTAATTGTGAATTTGTTGTAACTGCCAGTTGCAGTAAGGTTTCTTGCACATTCTCTGAAGTCACCAGTTTCTCACCACTGTCAGAAATGAGATACAGGACCAAAAAAAAAAAAAAAAAGCCCATGATTTGCACCAGTGCAAGGCATTTGCTATGTGTCTGTTCTGCAGTTACATCAGAACCTGTGGTTCAGAGCACCCAGCCTGATAGCCTGTCTGCAGTACTGGCCGTGAGTGGTTGCCCAGGGAGCAGAAAAGCAATGCAGGAGTATATGGCACCTTCCTGAATACAGGGTAATCACTGTTAAAATGCTGGCTGGCTGGAGCTTCAGCTCAGCCCTATGAAACTTGTCTTCAAAGATAAGTTTTCTCAGCTCAGCAAGGAACTTCCATGTATTTTGTCACACATGCACACAAAAGCAGAACTGATTTTTCCTTTAGTTATCAAATACCAGCATTGCACGGAAGGGGTTGGGAGATTTTTAAGGAGATAACATTGGGATGGCAGCTCTCGTTTCTCCGTAAATAAAGAAAAAGACTTTGGTCCACAGCTGAACTCTTTCTGTTCAGCTGTGGCTGAGCCAATGCCGGGAAGACTTCTTGCTGCTGGTATCCTCCTGTCTTGTGGCAGGACTTGACTGTGCTGCTGTTTGACCACATATTTCATAGCAAAAAAACAAGCAGCATAGCTGTGGTATCATGTTATTAACATGTTATTGGGTGTAATTAGCATTCGCTCCATAGATAATTTGAGTGGAGGCATTTTATAGGCAGCTACTGATAGAGTATCAGCTGATGGAAGAGTGTTAACCTCAACATGAGAAAATGCAGGATGAGCCGCTGGGGCTCAGCTGGAGGCTGCCCGAAGGGAGCCATGCGGGGAAGCAAGCAGGATGAGCTGTTGAGCTTTATGTTATTGGGTGTAATTAGCATTCGCTCCATAGATAATTTGAGTGGAGGCATTTTATAGGCAGCTACTGATAGAGTATCAGCTGATGGAAGAGTGTTAACCTCAACATGAGAAAATGCAGGATGAGCCGCTGGGGCTCAGCTGGAGGCTGCCCGAAGGGAGCCATGCGGGGAAGCAAGCGGGATGAGCTGTTGAGCTTGCTTACAAAGCTGTCTGGAGCTGGCAATTATAAGCAAACCAATGACCTCCAACAGTCTATGATCATTTATTAACCATGTATTAAAACATATTTTAATAATTTACTCACCCTGCCTTTAAAACCTTCTTATAAACAGTGTGGCCAAAGGCTGGCTTGAGTCAAAATATTTGTAAATCAAATCAACAGGTTATCTAGGTTTTTTCCCTTGTAAAAATAGAGGCTAGAATTGAATAAGATGAGAGTTTGCTGAGGCTCTACTGGCAATAGTACTCGGTACTGCCGTAAATGTCATAAAACCTGAATAAATAAACTTTATTCTTTTAAATGGTTCCATTGACACAATTCATTGTGTTGTTACATCTGCTTTGCACCTCTTTGATCTTGATCCTGTACAGAAGAGAGCAATTTCCACCAAAGAAAGAGCTCTGTAACGTAGTAGGTGAAGGGAAGGCAAGATCCAGTAGTTGGAAATCAGATTTCTTCTGTCTGTAATTGAGGTTAATTGTCCCCTGGAACAGATTACCAGGGTGTGTTCTTCGTCATTTGATGCTTTGTCTGTCCTGGCTGCAAGTCCTCTAACCAGGGTGCTGTAGCTCTACAGTATGTTATTGGTCTGGATGCAGCAATTCCTCATCTGGCATTACTGAAAGAGCTTGTGGCTCATTATCTACTACTCCTTTACATCCTAATTAAGATTTTAATTTTTTTTTTTTTTTAAAAGGGTTTTTGTTCCACCCTTTCTGTTTGGGTTGAAAAACTGTTTGGGAGGTTGGAAAATTACATCTCAATAAATGGGGAAGTGAAAGCTTACATATTAATAGAAGAGATGTCTACTACCAGGGGGGTAAAATTTTTACTTTCTAATTTTTGTAATATTTCTTAGTTTCTGTGATTACAACTTCACACCAGAGAGATCAAATACATTTCCATACTCAGGACAGAACTGGTTCAGACAAAAGGTGGAAAAAGAGAGTAATGAGAGCTAAATTGTACATTTTGCAAGGTAAAATAGGGAAAAAGGCCTGGGACTAGATAGAAACTCACAGCATGATACTTTTCCAATAGAGCAAAGTTGTACTGAAATATGTGATATCACATACTAGGACTTGTGCAGCTCTAATGTCTCCTAATACAGCCTAGGCAAGTGCTTTTGCACAGACTTCTCAAACTGGACAAGCTGGAGGCAATCCAAGGAACAAAGACAAATGGAAGGATTAGAGAGCACCATTAGGATTTAATCTGTAATAACTCCCCCTAATACTGTGCCGGTAAGACTTTAATATGTGTAGTTATGAACAAGTAAAACCAAACTTACCATGAAAGTCTTACGAGTTTGGTTAAAACCCTTGGGGTCGATGGCTGAACTAACAGAAGCCAGCACAGCAGAAGACTGCGGTGGTGCACTCAGGCAGGCAGAAGTTAGCAGTGAACATTAAGGACTAAGGGCTCTTGCCTTGATTGTAATGATTATGCCCCAGTCCTGTTGACCTGGACCTACTTTGTAGTGACTTCAAGGGGCCAGGTTTTAAGGGCTGACATTTAAGAGTAATTTGTGAGCAGTCTTTGGAAGGCTGACTATATGTTCTACTGTAGATTGTTCCCTTATATATTCTCATGGCACTCTACTGAGGCAGGTCAGAAAATACACCTCTTTTTTCCCCAGACAAATTCAGAAACACAGTCTATTTTGTTGAATTGAATATTAAACCAATTATGATTATATCAATGTTCTTGGTATTATTTGGTTATTCTGGAATATTATGACCATCTTATGCTGCAATGTATTTTTCTGTATTAAGTACACAGCTAACTTGATTTTTTCTGTAATAAAGGAGAATGGGTAGAAGATGGGTGGGTCTAACAAGGCAAAGATACGTAAGATTTTAGGAACACACAGAGAGGGAATAATGAAGAAAGGAAAGAGAAGTCAGTGTCGCTGCTTGTCATGGAGTGCAGATATCCTTGAACCGTAGCTGTTAAGTCTGCTCGGGGCAGTGTCTGCAAACACATCCAAAGTGCTTCAAAACTCCAGCTGCCTTGTGTGTCTCTGCTGCTGTGGCATGGGTGAATTAGAGTGGGTTACCTGCTTCTGACTAATTGAGTCAGCTCTAACAGAGTAATGAAAATGCATTGGTGGATTGCATGTGATTTTGTGGGAAGCTGGAAGACTGGGAAGGTGACTTTAGGAAAACTGTTCTTCCATTCCTGTTTTCCTTCTACCAATTTTGCACGTGGCTTCCAGCTCATGTACCTTTTTTTTTTTTTCCCCAGTAGGATCTACTTGGGGAAAATAAAATCAAACCCAAAACTGCAGGGTCAGATTCTTGCCCTATTCACTTTGATGTAAAATCAGATCACTTGTATCCTTTAATAGTTTCACGTTTTTACTTTGTGTACATGGAGCCCTACATTCTAATTACAGATTTGAGAAGGAGCTAAAAGACGAGCTAGACAAAACCTGCTGGGGAGAAAAGGAAATGTCAGTGAACCCCCTTCTTGTATTGGTGTCATGGGGAGCAATGTGGTTTCAGAACGACATCCTAGCATTCATTTGTGAAGCTACAAAGATTGATTAGATCCATTGTTAGAAGAGTTTCTAGATCAGTGCCTTCCTACCAGGAGAGAGTGGACACCCTGCCCCAGCTCCTCCTTCATTTGCAAAATGCTTTTCATGGCAAAATGTGGGTCTGACCCCTCTTTTAAACAAATCCACTGGGGTTGCTTTGTGGCTTTCATTAACATCTGATAGCGACGGAAAGTAAAATCCTGTACATCTGTTTTCAGGATAGTGCAATGCAGATTTGGGGTGGGTTTCTAATTCAAACCATTTCTCTGTACACACAGCTGCTGGACTGTTTTGGGATTCCTGTGCTGATGGCTTTGTCGTGGTTCATTCTCCGTGCAAGATACAGGCTGATCCATTTTCTTGCTGTTGCCATCTGTTTGCTGGGTGTAGGAACAATGGTGGGTGCAGACATTTTGGCAGGGAGGCAGGACAGCGAAGGTAAGGAATCCTTTATGTGGCGGGGAAAAGCGGAGAGATGGTTCCTGTGGTGGGCTAACTTGCAAAGGAGAAAAAGAAGCAAATGCAGGGGGAGTGGATATAGTTTTATTTTAAAAGAGGAGAAGACACGTTGCTATTTGTATTTCTTGTCCAAGGAGATAGTGGCTGAGGAGATGCTGATTTTATAGGGAGCTGTGGAATTTCTTTGCTTGTAGATTTGGATTCTTCCGCCTTAAAAGATAAACACTTGTGTTAAGCTTACATTTTGCTGCTGTTCATCAGACCTGATGAAAGGCCTCATTCTTGAAAGCTCATTCACTTTTACTAATCAGGTGAGATGGTCTAATAAAAGATGTTGCCTCTCCCTGCAAACCTTGTCAGACTTCTCTGATTTGCAGTTTTCTATGAGCACAAATAGCACATAAAAAGTTACTTAAGAGCAGGCTGACTTCTCCGAGTTATCTTTGGCAGACTCAACAGAAATACTTCAGGTATCCCCAAGGCCCACAGGCCACAGCCTGGAAAGCATGGGCTTACGACGGGAGAGCAAGAGGAGACATGGGCAGGATGCTGGGATTCCTGGGACCTCTGGGAGGGTGGTTGGGCTTTGGGGACCAGGATCCAGCTGGGCACAGATGAGGGCAGGTCTCGTCTTCTCTGACAGATGCCTGAATCAACCCATATCATAGTGATCTTATTTTGAATAAGAATTTTGAATTTTCAGAGCCAGTGTCTATGAGGCAAGGTAAATGTCAGGGAGAGAGGAATGGGGCATTGCCTGCATCAGGCAGCATAGACATAAGCCTATTTGGCGTTATTTTGGGGCCTTACTGTAGGTAAGACATCAAGGCAAACTGAGGTTTAGCTGTAGTGCTATGTGGTACAAGTATCTCAGTCCTGAGGAAGAAAAATCTTTCTCTGAGACTTTAAGACAGTTGTGATTTATTCGCTGACCTGGGTACCCTTACTACTGCTTACCCTCATATTTCAGACATATTTTCTTAGTGATTGCCAACCGGCTTGGGGAAAGACATTTTAAATCAATTCAAGGATTTAAACAACAGCAATCCTCTTGCTATTTAGCTGATGCATAATAGCGTTTACTTGATGAGTGATTGTATCGCAGGGAGTCCCATTTGCACAGTATAAATAAATCGCAGCAGGACACATGATACCACCCATCTGCAGTGCCCACTTAAGACCTGTCATAAACTTGAAGCTGAGTCCAGGTCCCTCTGAAATCAATAGACTGATTTTAGCAAGACTTGAATCAGGCCTTACTGCAAAAGCAGGGGCAATATTCAGAAAGGCGGAGAGCATCTCTAACTGGGAATTTTCTTAAGTCCCTACAGTGCCTTAGATCAGCAGAAGTAAAATTGGACCAGACTATACAGCAGTGGCTTGGTCAGGATGAGGTTTAAATGCTGGGTTTAGCTCATTCCAGACTGTGCAGGGGAAGGTGAGCAGGTAGCAGAGTCTGTGCTCAGACACCAAGCCACTCATCTGCACCCAGAAGAGATGTTTCCTTTCCCCTTACCCTGGAAGGCGCTAGGAAGATAGAGGTGTTAAAGATAAATTTGCTTGTCTTTTTAAGGAAAGTTAAAAAGTGTTTGCAGCATTACCCTTATTGTGGATTAATATTTCTGTACAGGTAGTGACGTGGTGATTGGAGATGTCTTAGTGCTTCTTGGTGCTTCTTTGTATGCCATTTCTAATGTGAGTGAGGAATACATTGTGAAAAATCTGAGCAGAGTGGAGTTTCTAGGAATGGTGGGCTTGTTTGGGACTATTATCAGCGGTCTACAGCTGTAAGGATCTAATATTTATTTTAAAACTAATTAAGAATATTCTACAGATGATTGCTTGTCTACCATGAAATGATGATGATGTTATTAAATTAATTCTTTGTTACATCTGCATTTGGCCTATATGGGAGTCCTTCCACTTGAATTTTATTTTTGTTGCTGATCAGCATCCCTTTCATATCCTTTTTATTTGCACTACTCTTATTACAGCAATTCTAAAGCTGAAATCCTGCAATTGAACACATACAGTACTTGGCTGTATTTTTGATTTTGTTGATCTTCATGAGGACACTCAGTATGCTGAGGACTGTTCACAGGAATATGTTTCTTAATGGATTTTCTCTGTGGAAAAGTTTAGGAGATAATCATTAGCAGGAGGTCTTCCATATTAAACTTCAGTTTAAAATGAAGTCATTTATACTCTTGTAAATAACCACGTTAGAGTAACAGACCACATGCACTTAAGTCTATCTAATGAATTTTATGTTCCTCATTTCTCATCATTATTGTTAATAATTTCTTCAAATGGTATATCAAATAAAACCGAATCTCTGAAGGATGAAAAAGCCTGGGAAGAAGGCATAAAAATTAAATAAAAGTGCTCTTAATTTTCAGGCACTTTAATTTTCAAGTCTTTTTTCATACTTGTTAGATGTTGGAGTTAGTGTCATTCAATAAAATTTCAAACAAAAAATTAAGGGATTATAAATCAAAGTGTTTCTTATATATTCTGGTAATTAAATTCTCTATTTGAATACGCTATGCTTTTTTTTTTTTTTACTATATTATATCTTTTCTCTAACTCTAGAGCCATTGTGGAACATAGGGAGATAATGAGAATTCAGTGGAACTGGAAAATTGGTATGTGTATGACAAAATTATGTGCATTTTTACAGAACACTGGAAAATGATGATCATTTAGACTTCAAATGCTGGGGATTTAATTTTCTTTCTCTGGATATTAAGCAGCATTCATATTATATTGTCACAAATTTACTTTCTGCAAGCTTTGCAGCTCAGCAAAGAGATAAGGTTTGCAGGATTGAACATTAAAACCTTTGAGCTCAGGTTTTGCATTTTACATATAGCATGAAACCATTTTTCAAAATAAATTGCAAAAAGTGATAATTAAACCTGTTTAATCAGAGACATGCTTGGTGTTGGAACATCACAAGAACATTTTTCTGTTGTCCTTCCTAAATGAAATACTGGGAAAATGGATTTTGTGACACATTTTGATCTCAACAGAACTATACGTTAGTAAGAAATGTGGCTCTAAATTTCTTCAGTCAACTCTTATGTTAACTAGGAAAGAATGAGAACTTTCTTGTATAGATACCATAATTTTTGCAATATAGGGTAGTCTTGAAAAAGAAGTATTTCTGCCATGTTTTTCTTAAATTTACATTCTCATATCTTTTAGGAAACCTTATCCTAAAAGATAAAAATGCATGGTTTTAAAGCATCTGAAGAATATCAGTGTTCTTTAAAATTATTCCGTGCCTTAGGAGTAAATTGTCATCTTGTTTTACAGCATTACTGTTCACAGTCTTTGCCCTGTGTATGTTTGCGCTGTATAGCTTCATGCCAGTAGTGATTAAAGTTACCAGTGCAACCTCAGTCAACCTGGGTATTCTGACTGCGGATCTCTACAGTCTGTTCTTTGGGCTTTTCCTCTTTTTCTATAAGGTGAGTACCTTCATTCTTTCGCTATAATTTCAGTTATGTTTTTACTCCAAAATTATAAATAAAGCATAATGTTCTTAAAAGCCCCTGAACAATCGTTTGCACTTGTGCGTTTCCACAGCTTGTATCATTCATTGTTGGCAGATGTCAATCAGAAGGACTCATACTTAGTTAATTACATAGCATCACACCATTAGGCGGACAGTGATTTTCAAACAATTTCACACCTCATGGAATATGTTAGAGTTAATGTTAAGAAATAGTGAATAACTTCCTGAGGTGTTCAAATGGTAGAGTTCTTGCCGTAAGCCCTGTGTGGAACTGTATGCTAGATTCAGTTCATCTCTTCAAGTGACCAAAGAGAGGTTTTGAACCTCCCTGTCCTGAAAGGCATTTGGTGTCTGAGAGTGGATCAGTTTGGCTTGATTTCCAGAAATTAATATTTTCTTTTAGAAATTTAATCTGTTCATTACCAACATCTTGGGAGAAGAATCAAGCTTTCTCGGTACTACTACTGAGGTGAGACTAAAGGAACTGAAAAAAATGCAGATAAATGTATTATTCTCTATGCTCTCCAAAAGGCAGTTACTTTTTTTGCTCTCTCAAGTATTTTTGGCAGTGTCTATTCAAGCTAAATGACAGTGCTAAAAAGATTTCATTCCACCCTACGCTTTTCATCCAGAATCATTTGAGGGAACCTAGCTCATTACAGCAATTGGAGTAATGGAGTCAATTGCTCAGTGACTGGAAGGGCTTAGTGAGAAGCTTGTGAACTTTGCTTAAGAACTTAATTTGTATTATTCCATGTGGTTGCTTTCTTCTCAGCATTATGGAGAGCCAGAAGCTTTTAGGTCAGATTTGTTTCTGAAAATGAAGGCCAATTTATTTTACAGCGCGGAGGTCTGGTAATGGTAGGATCTGACTACAGCTAGATTTTCCTTTTCAAGAGCCTCTTAGCTCAGCCTTCCTCCCTGTTTTGGGTTCCAAAATTTGCTCCAAGCGACAAAGCATCCATTAAAAATGAATGTAGGAAGCGATCCATACTTACATTCTAACAATTAAAAAAATCCTTTCTAAGTCACTTCCAAACATATATTTTGGCACCCAGATAGCTTAACTCAAGAAGTGATTATAAATTTATATTCATAATAGTAAAGAGGAATAAGTAAGCAAGAGCTTTGGAAGGGAGGGGATATAATAACCTTTTATTCTTCAGGATTTTTAGCTTATTTTGGGGAGAGGTTTTTCTGGGAGCAGATCATCCCATAATTACTAACTGCGGGGTACTCTGGTAACAAAAAGGAAAAATGAATTAGAGAAGACTTTGGGGTTGTATTATGAGAGAATTTCAGATACTTATTAAAATAGGAACTTGTATCTGTGGTTAGAAACAATGAAAGAGCAAAAAGGGGAGCAATAATAATACCACATCTGTAGTAATCAGAGGATCTGAGATAGCTTAGGAACCAAGAACTGAGAGCGCCTGATTTTGACACTGCTTTTATCATAATACTTCTTGCAGTAGAAAATCTTATTGCCAAGTTAACCATGTAGTTTCTTTACCTATGGGGCAAAGAAACCAGGCAGGACATTTCCTGGATTAAAAAGCACCCTGGACACAGGAATCTATAAACAAAAATGCAAGGAATCGCTCTCTATTCACCGTTACCAGATGATATTTCACAGCAAGCCACTGAAGGCTTGGCTGGGCTGCAGAGCGGAGCGAGCCACGGAGAGCTCTGAATTGCTGTGGTCTGAGCCTGTTTTGAAACAGAAGCAGCACAGACATGCAGCGGCTGCAGTAGAGACTGAGCCCAGGAATTTATGATGTTTTGACTTGAGCACAGTGTTTTGCTAATGCATCAACTTTTCAGACCCAGTTGAGTCTGTTTAAGGCGTAATGTGAATTTTACAAATCTGTCTTGATAAGCCCTTTTTTTTTCTTTCACTGCATAATGAATCTTTGCTGTGCTTGTTCCTAATGAGCTCATTATATACAGATACCTGTAATCCCTCAAGAGATATTAAAAAAGGTCTCAAAATGTTTCTGTTGCATAAACTCTTATGGAAGGGTGTCTACTGCAGATACAGACACTAGATGGAGTTACAGTCCTCCAGTAACATTTCAAGTTGTCTTTAGGCTTGATAGTGAGTATGGGGATATAAGCTGCATAGGTATAACTAAAATCAGGGTCTGAAGCAATGAAGTTGCTGCGGTCTTTGAAATTAAACAAACAAACAAACAAACAAACCAGGAAAAGTACTGAGCCCTCCCCAAAAAAGAAAGAAAGAAAAAAAAGAAAAAGAACTGTTGGAGCAGCATGGTTAAGGTTCACCTGTGTCAATAGCTGCAAACGCATAGGCAGGCCTTGAATCACAGCTACGCTGCAGCGGCTTTGGCACCCTGGCTTGGTGACTGTATCCACTCACGGAGGAATTAATTCTGAGCAGGATCAGAGACACCTACTGCCTTGTACGCACTACGAGAGGGCCTGGCAGTTACTGTGACCGCCCAGTCTCACCTGCCAGCCACATGTCTTTGCATACAAGCACATGTTCACTCATGGCCTTAGGTTGCACTCTGGAGAAGTTGTGCAGGTGTCTTGATACAGACCCAAGCTCTGCCCATTTGATGGGAATGGGTCAGTCAGGGGTAGGACCACGGACACTGCTGGTGCCTCCGTCAGGACATCTTCAAAGCTTGGTGCTTCCTCCTGTGCAGAGTGAATGCTTGAGTCCAAGCTCCTCCAAGCGAACAGCCAGCAAGGTGAGGAAAGAGGGCATGTATCACAAGGCCAGTGTGTTTCAGTCTGCTTTTCCGTTTGCATGGTGTCGTCCAAGGGTTTCTGAGCCAAGTGACTACCAGCTAGGAATTTCAACGCCTTAACTGTAGATGCCTCAGTCTTTTTTGGATCAGAGTCCACTGTCCAGGTTCTACCATTCATTTCATCCAGCTCTGCTGCTTGATAAACTAGAACATATTTTTCAAGCATGTCTAAGGAAGCTAAGGAGGTTAGGGAATATTGACAGTGGGATGTAGGATATGCTGTGTCCTTCATCCTACTGTTTAATCAGTGTGGTTTAGCAAAGGCAATACAGAGGACTTCAGCAAATCTGCTAAAGAAGTGTTCCTGGCTGTGGATAGCTTGAACACTTTGTATTATTGAATCTGGCATTTATTTTTCTGTCAAGGTGGATGAATCTCAGCAATTGTTGGACTTTTAACAGGCAAGTGAACGATAGTGAATTAAATGCCTGATGTACCTCGGCAGTTCGTACTCTTACCTCACACCACTCTTAACAGAGCACAAATGCCAATCTTGTAAAAGGAGCCCCAGTCTCCCTCTCTTCAAGGACTTGCTGGGTGTAGAGAGCAAGCTGGTTTTGGTCCAGTAATAACATTTATCTAGCCCTGCAGATGGTTAAGAGAGCTGTGCAGAGAACCAGCTGCTCTGGTGACTTGCAGTAGGACAGAGAGATTCATCTCTTGCCAGGACCTGAAATCTTTGGCTGTGCTGAAACAAAATTCTCTTAGGGGTACAATGTTTCAGCATTCACGTGTGTAAACAACTATCCTTCAGTATCACCAGATTTACAGCCATTTGTTCTCTCTGTTAAGATTCTTATATGCAGACCTAAGGAAACTCCCTGTCCGACAGTGTTGAGGATGAGATGCAGAGAAAACCAGCCAGCACATTGAGTCTATCAGTGAATGGAGCTGTTGAATTTTGATTTTCAGACCTGAATACAGATCATGGTGATAATCATCATTAAAATAATTTTTAAAAGGAAGGGTAGCTTTCACATCCTTAAAACAAGGCAGCGTTGACATGTTTTTACATCAGACAAGCCTTAATGCATCTCTTCTTTTCCTCTGCCAGTTTTCAGGTCTTTATATCCTGTCCTTTGTTATCATCATGGTGGGCTTCATCTTGTATTGCTCCACTCCAACTCGGACGGCAGAACCCACTGCTTTGCCACAGCCCCGAAGCACCGGCTTGGACAACGCTGCACTAAAGCTCGAGGAGAATGACAGTGAAACTCCGGCCATAACTGTACAGTTCACAAAACTGTGAGAAACTGTGGTGGTCAGCACTGATTAAAGAAATGGCAGCATTTCAAAATAGGTTTTTTTTTTTTTTTT